TATTTGAACCCTATGTAAAAGTAGCTAATGATAGAAACAGTTCTACCCTGAACTTTTAGCATATTAACAACATGGAAACTTCTTAAAAGTCATATGAGAATGATTGACTAAATGTTACACACATAATACAGAATTGCTTCTGACAGTCAAACCAGAAGAGTGCAATTACTGATGATTAGAGTAGCATCCATCCTGAAAGCAGACGTTGCAGTAAATGTTCATTATGCCCCCACTTTCCAACTAATTTAACTAATGATTTCCTGCTTAGAGATCTGTAATTTCTACTTCTAAGTTCAAATGAATCAGGCCATATTTTTTAACCCGGAGATGGTTGGGTTATTGGGTCTGACATAGTATGCTGAGTTGCCGTTTAAACCCAAACCAGGACACATTTTCAGGGCGATGTGAGAAGAATAATGAGCCCCTTTGTGTTTTTGATTGTTGGATTAAACCTGTCCAATTTGCATGGCTTAAAGCAATAACCCCTCAGTATTTAGATAGCTTATAAGAAAATGAAAGTTACCTGTGATAAGGGCCAGATGCTTAAGAAATGAGGGCCGCACTAGATGTCCAACTATTTATCCCTTAAACAAAAATATAATGTAATGTATTCACTTTACAGCTATATATTTTCATAAAATTATAGCTGTGTATGTAATTTTCTCCCCTATATGACTCAACATAGAGGTGTCACAGTCTGTACGGAGTTGACGTGTTATCCTTGTGTTGCATTGTGTTGGACTAGCGACACGTTCAAGATGTAAATTTGCATCTTGCCCTTAAACTGCTGACAAGAACAAATTTCAAAATGATCAAACAGGCATAAAAATTGATGGATTGTATTGATTTTTTCCAGGAACTGGCAGCTTAACTCTTTTTAAAAAGCAGACCTATCATTTTTTTCTACACTAATTGTACCTTCAGGGAAATCATCAATGTTTCATGGCTGCAGGTGTAACTTCTAAAATCCAGATATAGATTTATTTTTAATGAAGATATTAAAAAAAAGACGAAAAAAGCTTCTAAAAACCCAACCCTTAGCAGATTAAAATACATAGTTTCGCTTCTGTTTATTTCACATTTTGGGTCAAAGTACAGATATAAATGTTGATATAGTCAGATAAAACAGTATCTTTAAAAGGATTATACTTTTCTGGTTTTACATTAATATCTATTTGATCAGATAAGCAATGTGTATTTAAAGAGGTTTGAGGTATAAACACTTACTGTAGTGCTAAAGTTGCACCTTAGGGAGTTATAAGAAAGAGGTTGTTTAAAATGCACTAAATTTGAATCGGACCGCTTTCTGTGCACCCTAAATGCACTGGAAAAAAAAATCAAAATTGAGATAAGTCATTTATTCTTAAAATAAGTGCATTTTGTCTTTGATTGAGGAGGTAAAAGAGACGTCTTGCCAATGGAACAAGACAATTGACACTTAAAATACGAAAAAACAATTGCATTGTCTTATTTCAAGTGCATATTATCTAAATATCTTATTTAAGTGTAAAACTACTCATTCCATTGGCAAACTATCTAATTTACCTACTTAAATTCAGGGTAAATACACTTCATTTAAGAAATTTCTACTTATTTCTAGATCGTTTTTCCAGTGTGGAAAGAGCTTTTTTCATGCTTTTTTCTTGAAAATAGTTTTATACTCATTATTATTTGCATAATCTTCATTTGCCCTTTGTGTCAATAATATGCATATGCATGTCCTTCAAAAGTCAATCCAGAAACCTTGTTCGACCATCATCTTTGTCCTGCATATTTCTTGCATCGGTACCAAAATGTCATTCCTAACTTCCACTAAGTGATACACCGAGACAAATGAGATGAGATGTTATGCAAATGTAAAATCGTGAGTTAATCAATCACAATCTGAGCCTGATGTCAAGCTGCTCTTCTTTAATTTATACAGTAGATATTTCCCTGAAATGTCTTAAGAAGAAGAGCAACAATTTTTAAATGAATGCGTTGGATATAAACAAAGTTAGAAAGATGAAGAGGGATGAATGTATGGGGATGGCTGATATGGACTTCTTATGTTTTGTTTGCTGAAGTGATCAGCTTTTCGTTTCATTGGAGTAGGACAGAGGTCTTCCGCTATATATACCTTATAGCAGTAGGTGCAGACAGTAGCTTTATTAAAGGGCAGACTTTACAACTAACCTTCAGCTCTGTAAGCAGTGTTAGAGGTGATTTGTAGACGAATTGAAGAGACAATGACAATAAAAGATGGAGGGCAGGGACGGAGCTGTGACAGTAAGGTGGAGTTACAGATAACAGAGACCACAGGAAATGACAGAGAGACTGATATAGCCGCACAGCGGGGACGGAAAACACATCCTGAGATGCGAAATGCCAAACAGAAGGAGAGATCGGAGCAGATAAGAGGTGAATCAAAAGAAGGTAGGAGAAGGTAGTAAACAGATGAGAAATGAAAACCCCTGAGAAGTCGAAGAGCAACATTTGAGCTGAATGTAATTGCCTGAATGGTTAATGATGGGATGAGAGGGGGCAGTAGACCTCGGGGCTTACAGACAAAAGCTGATAGCACAATAAAACCCAACTGTTCGATTCTTCTCCTGCTCTGTCGGCCATGTTTTTCTTTTTCTCATCCTGACAATGACTCCCCAGGAGCGGCCGAACTGCCCTGAAGGAACGAAAATAGAGTTTCTAAGCGCAGCCTAGAGAGAAACATCCTTTTTAACAGAGAGAAGAGAGAGAGAGCATGGTGTGGTGGTCAGGTTGAGTTTACCACTGAATATCCAGAGCAGCAAAATTTTGTTTTTATTTTTTCCAAACCTTCGATGTTTGACAAAAATTACCTTCAAGATTTGATTTTAATTAATTTGCAAATGAATTCTATCTATGAATATGGCAGGAAGGGAGGGAGAGACACGTGGAAACCAAAGCAGGGGCGATGATGCATGAAGGACAGACGGTTGTGACTGTTTTTTGTTGCCCTTTGTTTGCTTTTTCACCAGGTTTTAAAGATGCTTCAATGCTTGTGTAATTTCAGCTTAGATTTTCATTGAAGAAATTACTTTCAATTTAGCAAAGAACGATTTAAGAAGTGTTTGGGAACCCAAGCACAGAGGATAGATTCTGATTACATAAGAGTGGCGTTATGAGTCTGGCACAGACTGCAGAACCTCATCTTGATAATAGTCGGCCTTTAAATTCTCTCCAAGACGTTATTCCAGAAAGGAAGAAGTCACCCAGAAACATAACATTATATTCTGTTGCAATCAAGTACCAAGTTCTCTGCACAGGACGTTGGATCACGGCATTGATTTTAATGTCGCCACTTTCCTAAAAGCTGAAAATAAGCTTTGTTTCTTTTTAATCAACAGGGGTCCAGTTGAGTCATGATGCTTATAAACCAGTGGAAAAGAGGCTATACTTAATATGCACCAGGAAAATCAATCTGCCACTTCCTCCCATAGTTGGACACACCATAGTGTAAAAAAGGAGACAAAAAAAATAAAACATATTCTAAGTTTCATCTTCCTTTTTATAACAATAAGGGAATTATTCTCCACTTTAATGATAATGATTTTTAGGAAGCAAAGCATCACTTTTGGAACTGACCATAAGGTTTTTTAGCCTCGTGAGACCATCCTGATCTCGCGAGCTTTCGAGATTTCACTCGCAGATCAGTCTGGAGACTCTCCGTTAAAGAAAATTTGGAGCAGTTCACCAAACGAACGTCCAATCAGCGTTGGCTTTGAGGCGGGTTGAGGTGTGACGCAACGAGAAGCGCGCAACAGTTCAGTCTAAAGAACATGGCGGCTTCAGCCGATGAAACTAGCGTTAGCGTGGCTATCGAGCTAGTTTTATCGGAATTACAGAGTATTTCTTCACTGAAAGAAGAGCAAAACACTGCTCTGGAGGCTTTTCTCAGAGGAAAAGATGTTTTTGCTCTTCTCCCGACTGGTTTCGGCAAGAGTTTGATCTATCAATTGGCTTGTGCCTGGCTTGTGGTTGTGTTTTCGTCGTCGCTCTGTTAGTACGTCATATGCTTCGTTGATCTGATTGGTTTATTTGGTCCGTCTATCACCAACATAGGCCAATCAGCTAACCAGTATTTTCGCCCTTTCCCAAAATTACTTCAACGGAAGGTTTCCAGATGGATATGCCGAGCAAATCCATCTGGCGGAGTCAGGTTAAAGGTTTTTTGCTCTATCAGCAAGGATTTATGGGATTTTATGGGGAGTAAAATGCTGCTGTATGCAACACTACTTCTTACGCCATACAGCTGATCCATCTCTTTATTTCAATCTTTTAAAAGGTCCGTAGGATCTTATTCAAATTAAAATGAATATATAGTTACAATGATTGAGGTATGAATGTTGGACTGTTGTGACAATACCAACATGATGATTTGAATGAATTAATATGCATTTGGTTGGAAAAGTTAAAAAAACTCCTTTATTGTAAATGTCTGAGTCTGAGTTTGAACCCTGAGCATGTCTTCCTGGGCTTGTGACTCACCTCGGAAACTTTCTAAAGACAGATGGACTTCATCACTTGACAAAAGACTAGAGGAAAAAGTTGTGGAGAGGACTCCTCCACTTAGCGGCATGTTGTTTTCAGCACTCACTTCAGTTCAGGAAGCAGGATTTCTTCACTCTATCCTTAGATGTTTAAAAGGCTGCCTTCTTCTTACACTTGGCTTCTGACTGCAGCAAAGCTGAGAGAACTTTAATGGTGCCCCCATGGGCATCGAATGCACCACAGAGCAGAGAACTGGAGAGACAACAAAAGAGGACTGGATGCTATAACTGACTTCAGTCCTCCTCTCCCTCTCTCATGCTGTCCTCATTATCAGCAACCTCCTACAGCTGGAAACCCACTGCGAAATGCAGATCTGCTTCTCGTCTGACAATTTGAGGGCAATTACTAAAATACTGATTGGGAGTAAAGAGGTTAACATAGCTTTTTTTGTTTTTATTTTTCTCAGTTTTGCTCTAACACGTCTCAGTGAGGAAATGTTTTCAGGAACAGTAGAAATCCACTCAGCCTTAACTGTTGATGTTTTGTCTTTTTTGCTGCAGTACCTGGGGCTGGTGGAGGTGGAGGAGTCTAGAGGGATGCACGTCTGTGAGGAGGCTGTGAAAAAACTAAAAGTTGTAAGTATTCTAACACATACAAGGACATTTAAAGCTGGAGCTCCAATTGGTTGATCAGAAGTAGCAGTTCCACCTCATCACACACCTAAAGGCTTTAATAAAGTATTCACGCCCTGTGAAGTTTGTATTTTTTCACGTTACAGCAGAAAATGTTCAACTTGTTTCATTAGTGGAGAAGAAAATAAAAAATAAAGTGTACCGGTAGTTCATTTGTATTCATCCCTAATAAAATCCATCGCTTCGATCTGTCCTTTGAAGTCACCTAATTAGTGATTAGAGTCTACCGCTAATTAGTAATTGTATGATGATGCGAGATTGCGAGATTTAATCTGAGTGAAAGGGGATGTTTTGCGAAGACCTCGGAGGTTTGTTAGAGAACAAACAGCATCATGAAGATTTTCTACAGGATGGTGTCCCTCACTAGACAGGAGAATGCTGTGGAGAAGTTTAAAGCAGAGGTTCAGTTATAAAACAATAGAATAAACGATAACATCTCACAGCGTACAGTTCAATGCATCATCTGGGGACAGCAATAGAATGGCACAACTGCAAACTTATCAGGATTTAAACTAACAGGCTGGGGAAGACATGTATTTATTGAGAAGCAGGGAGATTTGCCATGCTGACACTAAAAGAGCTGCAGCCACCTACATCTCACTTAATATCTATGACTTCAGCCAAAGGAACCAGAGTTGCAAACATCTTAGCTTAGATGAAACCAAACTGAATTTAGTGCATGGCTCTACGTGTAGCAATATACTGGTACATTGGCCATCCATCCACTGACAAGCTTTTCCCAATTGGGGTCGCGAGGGGTGCTGGTGCCTATCTCCAGGCAGGGTACACCCCGGACAGGTCGCCAGTCCATCGCAGGGCAACACAGAGACACACAGGAAAAACAACCATTTATGAACACACACACACACCTAAGAAGCCAATTAACCTAACAGTTATGTTTTTGGACTGTGGGAGGAAGCCAGAGTACCCGGAGAGAACCCACACATGCTCAGGGAGAACATGCAAACTCCATGCAGAAAGACCCAAGGCTGGGAATTAAACCTACAACCTTCTTACTGCAATGCAGCAGTGCTACCCACTGCACCACTAAGCAGCCCTGTACATTGGCCAATATATTTGATATCTTTTTCCAATATTTCCAATTTTAACGGCTGATATTGACATGCGTTCTGGATTCATTAGTGCATTCAGTAGTCCTGTCTTCAAATCATGGGATGCACTTACATTGCTGCTCCTAGCATCTGCTATCCATTGTTAATGTATTTTTTTTTTATAGATTTTACGGCACCAGTGGCTCTTTTTTCGGACTGTAGGCTGACAGGAAAGGGGGTATGAGAGAGGGGTAGAGACATGCGACAAAGGATGACAGAGCTCTGTACATGGGTCGTGCATGCTAATCACTGCACCACCTGCACTCCCATGTTTTCTCAATTTGTCAATAAATCGCTCTTTTTGAGGATTTGTGTAACGTTCTGTCATTTTTAATGTAAATGAAGGAAGAGAAAGCAATATGGGCCTAAAGAATCACCACAAAGACTCAGGAGACTGAGTGCAAAATAGACATCGCCATCAGCAGTAAAGGAAATCTATTGGCCGATCTATGTGTTTAGGGAATGCTATCACTAAACATTGCTCTGAATACAGAATCAACATTAGGAAACATGACTCTGAGGCTAAAGGCACCTTAAACCCATACCCAAAGCAATATGGAATAGCTCTGATCAGAGTATGTATGTTAGAGGCCTAGTCAAAGTTCAGACTGATATCCAATTGAGAACTGTGGAAGAACTTAAAAGTGTTTGCAGATGTCGTCCATGTAATTTCACTTAACTGGAACTGAAAAGGGCAGTTTTAGCCCAGGGTGCTGAATGCAGATGCTCACCGTAATTGAATCTTAAGTGCGCCTGCAGACTGGGCTCAATATTTCCATCCTTGTTTATTTTACTATACTGCTTTCATTCTCCATGGTGGGTCTGGGCCCGTATTTATTCTTGTTTGCTTTCATAAAGTTCGATGCAGGAAAAGACAACAGAAAGTGAACTATAACGCAGCACACACACTGAAACACGCTGAGTTTCCCCCCTTCTTCTCCCTGGGAGGCTGGACTCAGACGGGGAGCGTGTGAACACGGTGACACAGTTCCTCTTAGACAGCCATAGGCTCATAGTGGAAAGGCAGAGTACAACAGGACTCACTTTGTTTAAAATCCATACATGTGTTTCTGTAACCGAAGATCTCAAAGGAAGACATTGTAGGAAATGTTCTGTTTTCACTCCTTTAGTTTGCTTCACATTCAGCTCTCCACTTCTTCACTGCCCTCTCTCACTGCATGCATAGGTGACTTTACATTCCCCCCCTCGATCTGCTAATCATCCTTTTCTTCGCATCTTTTACCTGCCATTAGAGGTTTGTAAGAAGCCCAGGTGTGTGCAATGCACTTTTTATGGTGTCATGGTGTTTATAGCGAAACATACGGTGGCCCTGAAGTGCAAACTGCAACTACAAATCTAAAAGCGCAACTACATTAAGGAAATCACAACTACATAAAGCAAAGCGCAACTACATTA